AATGGCAAACAAAAAAATGCAGTTATGGCAATAGCAAGCTCTGATAAAATAGAAATGAAGGCAAAATCCACCAGGAGAGCAAACTAGGGTACTACATAGTGATTAAAGGGACAATAGAACAAGAAGATATAACCATAACCCTTGAAACACATGATTCAAATTCTGTGGAACTGAAGAGAGAAATAGACAATACAAGAATAAAATAGTCCAACAACAACAATTTTTTTTCTTGGTGTCTTGCTTTTCAGGCCTATTTCTGAGATTATTTGGGGCAATGCTTAAGAAAATTGTATTACATCGACTGCAACAATTCGTTTCTTAGATACAGCGTTCCTCTATATTTTCAGCTATTATTACTAGTGTACTGATTTATCATCCTAGTATTAAATACAAGAACAATCTAGACCAAAAAATTACAGAATAACACACAAAAACTAAGAAATATTTGAAAAAGAATTAGGCATTAAAGAATTTCCAAGAGAAATTGTGTGGCTAGTTGTTTGGTTATGCATTGAGCTCCCAATCATAAGGTCAGGGAATTGAACCCACCAGTCACTCTGCACTCTTTAAAATATTTAAAGGTTTGCAGCAAGCAGAGTCATGTCATAAGTACTAATTGTTGTTAAGTTGGGACTAGAATTAAGTGTGAGCCACAACTCTATTCATATGTCTATGGTTTATAAATGTCTCTGTTTCACTATAGAGATATTATCATTCCATATCTATCACCCTCCCCGCCCACACACACCCACGCTGGGAATGAAGTAATTCTGTTGATAGTTTCATTAATATAGCCAATGGTATATAATTTAAAACACAGTTTAGAAAAGGTAGTTAGAAAAGTATAGGCCAGCTCCAAAGCACAATACATGAGCTGTTGACTTGTATAGGTTAAATTAGTAAGTGACTGGACACTATTTACACAATGAAGGTTGGTGATAAGGCAAAACTTTAAATAACATTTACTCACAAAGGCAGAACCATGTCCACCAGATTAATGCGTCTTAATAAAGCAATGAGGGCATTAAAATATATGGTAGTCCTAGGTCACCATTCATTGGGCACACTCAAGGAAAGAGATCCAAACCAAAACCGAAGCCTGCTCTATAACCTTGGGAGAACAGTCATATGCTTCTTCTCATAAGGAGATGTAGCCTTAAGACCACGGGCTACAGGTGCATTTGAGGTAAAGCCTAGCTCACTTAATGGGTTTCCACGTTGTTTCCTTCTGATGTGGCATTGGAAGGATGCTGTGAGCATTCAGAGAACAGAGTCTAAAGTTTCAGTAGTGAATAGTCTTGTTATCAGACAGAGAGCATTGTAAAGTAGATTATGGCAGATATTGTTAGGTTAAAGTTTAGTATTTTATTATTTGATTTCCCTTTTGACCCATTTTAAAGTTGCTTCAGTTGAAAAGTAAAAGTGAAGGGGAAATTCCGTTGATTACTTCCTGTGAGTTCCTGCTGATCACAGAGCAGGGAGCTGAATAGCCTTGCTCTCATGCAGAGTGCACTGAAAAGGGGATGGTTGCAGCTGCAATGAGGTTAACATTTAACACCTTATCATTTGATCTCCCTTTTGACCCATTTAAAATTTGTTCTAGTTAATATTTTCTGCATTCTTTTCTATTGAGGTTTTTTTGTTTTACTTTGTTATTGTTGTTGGTTTTGTATGTTTTTCTGTACATGAAATTCAAGATAGGTAAATCTATAGAGACAGTAACTAGATTAATGGTGTCTTGCAGGTAAGCTTGGGGGGAAATGGAGAGCTAATAACAATGAGTACAAGATAGAAGAAAATGTTCTAAAATTGATTATGATGATTATTGTATAACTCTTTAAAAATAATTTTATTGGGGACTCGTACAGCTCTTATCACAATCCATACATCCGGCCATTGTGTCAAGCACATTTGTACATTTGTTGCCATCATTTTCAAAACATTTTCTTTCTACTTGAGCCCTTGGTATCAGCTCCTCACTTTTTCCCTCCCTCCTTCCCTCACCCTCCCTCCCTCCCTCATCCCTTGATACTTATGAATTATTATTTTTTCATGTCTTACACTAACCGATGTCTCCCTTCACCTTTTCTGTTGTCTATCCCCCTGGGAGGGGGAATATATGTAAATCATTGTGATCTGTTCCTTCTTGCTCCCCGCACCTTCCCTTTCTCCTCCTGGCATTTCTGTTCTCATTATTGGTCCTGAGGGGTTTATCTGTCCTTGATTCCCTGTATTTTCAGCTCTTATCTGTACCCATGTACAACTCTTTTAATATGTTGAATGACTGAATTGTTTGATATGTAAAATGTAAGCCAATAAACTATTAAAAATAAATAAGTATAAATTAAAATATAATTGAATAATATCTTAAAACATTTAAAGGTTTGGAAACCCATGGGGGTAGCTCTTCTATGTCTTGTAGGGCCTAGAATCAATTAGATGGCAGCACATTTTTCTTTTTGGTATGGGAGGCTGTGCCATCTATACAGAGACAAAGTCAGAATACAGCTTGAGAAGAGTGGGGGGGAAGAAAGAAAAGACATGTATATGGAAAATGTGAGGGCAATTTAGTGTTGAAAATGTAAGGCTTCATAGCAATTTTCATAAGTATTTTGAGGATCTAAATTTTTCTTCTTGAAATTATGCAGTTAACGGTCCAGAGCACATTTTAATGTATGGAAGACAATTCATGTTGGATGTTTCAGAGCTGACATTGACGTCAATCTTCTTTATATGAGCAATTCTAACTTTTCTTTTAAAAGTCTGTGCATGGGTTGAGAAGTTGTATATTTTATGATAGACTGGAACATTTTCATTTTAATAAAGGAGCCTGAACTCCGAGAGAACCATTTTGGGTTTCAGATCATTTAATCTCTATTTATTGTACCAAACTTAGTATCAGTCAGTTGATTATGACCCACATAGACCCTATAGGACCGAGTGGAACGTCTGTGAATTTCTGAGCCTGTACATCTTTATGGAGCAGAACGCCTCATCTTTCTCCTGCAGAGAAGCTAGCTGGTGGCTCACATAGCTGACCTTGTGGTTAGCAGTCAAACACATAGCCCACGATGCCACCAGGGTGCCTTATTTGTTGCATATTAACTCTTATTTCTGTCCCCTTTCAGATAACACATCAGAACTGCCTGCTAGTCAGTTCCTAATAAAAGTGAAAATACATGGGTGAAAATTCCAATTTGAAGTGTAATTTTCACTGTTCAAATATATCTGTGGATCATACATATTTCATACCATATGAAGTATAGCTTGACTTAAATATTTAGTACCGTAGAATTAATTTAAGTAAGGCCAACATGCATTTCCTTTATCTCAGGCTAGCTAACACTATATTCTCTAGCTTTACGTGATTAGTAAAGTAGGTGTCTGCTCTGAAAACCAAGGGGAATTCGTTAGAGGAAATATAATAATTGATAAGGTTCAAGTCGAAGGGAACAGACTTTGGAGTGTGGTGGGAGAGGTGTGGGCAGGGGGTGGAATGTAAGCAAAGGGCAGAAGATAAAGTGATAGACTAAGTGTTTGATGGGTGAAATTTCAAATGATTGACTTATCTAACAAAAATTAGGGACAGATGTTAAAATGCATTTAGTTTTGTTTATTTTTTTTCATTTTCAATTTTATTTATTTGCATTTCATTTTTTCTCTTTTAATTCTTTAAAAAATGTATTATTAATTGGGAGTTAATACATATATCATGTCATTCCATAGCTCAATCAAACCAAGCAGAATTGATAGCAACAATTGCTACCACAATTATTTTCCAAACATTCTTTTTCCACATGGACTCCTTGACATCATCTCGCTTTTACCTACCCCACCACCACTGTCCTCACGCCCCTCCCCCGCAACCTCAAAACCCTTATTCTACTTGCTGTCCTTATGGGTTCATCAATCATGGATTTCATATACTGAAACACAGAAAAAGATCCAACACAACTTCATGAGGGTGACCTCTTATGACACAACACCTCTGAGATACAGCTTAATATGAACAGATGAAAAGAAAACAAAAATACAGAAAATGTCGAAAACCAGATCAAGCCCAGTATGCATCAGAGGGGCGATCAACCAACAATGTCTCAATTGCTGAAGTCAGAATCATGCCTTTGATCTTCTGTACTCTTCTCTCCAATGCCCTCTTGTTTAGTAACCACTTTCCTCCCAACCCTCAATTGTGGATAGAGGGAAATTACCAGAGCTTATTTCCTATGTAGTTCCCACAAAGGCTTCTTGGGTCCCACTGTCATCCATAGCCTTCTGCAAACTGGATTCTCACCGTTTAGGTTCTGATACTAATCCCTGCTTCGACTTCAGATTATATGATTTACAATCCTTCAGTGAGTGATGATGGTGTGCTTCTTCCATGTGGATTTAGTTGACATCTCACTTAGATGGCTGCCAGAAGCTTTGTTTCTAAGTCTACTCACCAGGAACCATTACTTCGCTCTTATTGACCTCTGATGGCCCCAGTTCTTCCCTTAGGTATGAAAGAATGAGGTTGTTACCAAGTCTGAAGCCTCAAGGTCATCCTTAAACCTTCCCACTCCTTCGTCCTCATTTTGCGTTGTAAGTAGACAAAACCCTGTCCCTATTCTCTGTAATGTCTCTTGAGTATCCCCTTCTGTATAACAGATGAAAAAGAGAAACCCCTCCCGTGGCACTCATCACAATGCTGGGTACTGACAGGAGATGTTCTTAACTGCTCAGCTTCGTATTTTCTGACAAACCATGACATTGGTAAAGACAGGAGGACGACTCAATGCCCAGATAATCTGTAGGTGATCAAAACTCAGACCCAAAAGCATTGAGTGAGGTTAGTGTATAATCTGCACTTTCCCCATGGAATAACCGTAGCCTGGTGAAATGTCAGACCTGGTGCTTTCTCAGTCACACAGGAACTGAGTTATTACAGTCCATGTTGACTCCCACGAACACTAGGTTGCTTTCATTTGCATTCGACACCCCAAGTCCCATAGGATTACCTCTGCTGGTGAATAGGTGCCAAATCCCAGGGCGGGAATGAAGTGACCATCATTAAGTTTCACAGAGTGATGTTTGAGGTCCATCTTCTAGTACTGTTCTGGCTAAACAGAGCTTGTGCTCTTTCCTCTCCTTTCCTTACACATCTGAGCAACAAAAAGAGGACTAGCCCAGTGCCTGGATCAACTGTTAGCAAACAGCTTTTATCAAAAGGAGTGTAGGAGGGGCCAATCTTAAAGCAATATTCCATGGAATGAAAGAAAATGTCCTAGCTTGAATAATTTTTTATCAAAAAGAATTAATTATTCTTTAATGATTAAGTAACTGTTCTTATCTTGGGCTAGTAAATTTTCTCTTCAGCAGCTACTACACATTATCTTAAATTATAAGAAGGTATTTGAGATTGTTTATTGTGCCAGCCTGGCTGATAAACACAAGTGGGATTAACTGAAGGGCAGAGATAAATGGCTTGGTGAGCCTCCCCTTTCTTGTCTATCACTCTTTGATCACCGGACCAGTGTGCGGCAGCCTTGCTTATTCTGTGCCTCAATTTATAGGCTACACTACCTATAGGATGCCTAGCCTGTGGACTGTGTCTCTGTAAGTTGAGGTCCCTTTAAGACATCTCTGGAGCTTGGGACTGGCAGTTGGGACTGGTGGTTGGCTGACAGTTGGTGATCTGCCTTGTGGTTGACTGCTATGCTAAGATAGCCTACCTCCCTCTATAAATAGAGGAAGATCTGGCAGCAGAAGAGACTTGAAGGACTGTTTCTCACAATTCTCTCTCACGGGAGTGAATTGCACCGAGCCATTTGTAGTGCTTTATAATTTAACCGTTCATTTCTTGTATTATATATTTA